ATGCCGCCAAATGGGTCTCCTCCTCGTATTCGGAGGGAATTCCAAGCTCAGCAAAAGGCGCTTTGGTCGTTCTGGTCCAACCCCCGAATGCGGGGATCTTGCCACTTGGATTATGGGTGTTCCTCGGGCGAGTCTTCTTCTTATCCTCCTTCCTAGGCGGTGGCCTGTCATAAACTTGCGGTCTTCTGCTCCAGAATTCTATCCACTCAACAACGTGAACTGAACGACTTTTCTCCTGTTGCCCACGGCGACCACCTCGTTGCCTAATTCGGTTACCAAGGTGATAGTATGCTTGGAACAAATATTTACAACATTGAGGGGCGGAGTTGATGTCTTCCCCTGTTAATTGCGAGGCAGTTGGAACATACTCATCGTAGATGTCGCCAGATATCGGTAGTCCGCAAAGTACATGCATATCCCAAAGCGAGATTGAAAGCTCACCGAGGGATGTAAGCAAGGTATTTGTCATGGGGCACCACGCTTCGCAGAATGCTTGGACGATAGGCGTCGAGCGGTCATATGTGAATAAGGAGGCATATACGCCGTCGTAGATCGTCACATCCTCTAGAAGTTTGCGATGCCGACTGAGTATAGCCTCAGTCCATTCCCAATACCCCTTTGTGAAGCTAAACTCACCTTTAAAGCTGGGGTGCTGATTCCATGAAGCTTCACCTTCAAGTATCCATCTCCCTAAAGTCGGGAGCGTGTCTGTGTAGTCCACATGACTTAAGCCGGTCTTCAGAACCCATGTTTTCGATGGCTGGGTGTCAGTGTCATGGGTCCAATTTTCCACTTTATATGGCGGTATCTGGGAAAGACGAGTTCTCGATGCCATTGGTGGGTAAACGATGAACGACATGCTATCTTTTCCAGTCTCGTCGCTTGATACTTTGAGCCTCCTCTTCTGATCGGCTCCCACGGTTTCCCAAAACACGACCATCGTTCAAAAATAGCTTGCGGTGTATGAATCTGCATTAAGGACCAAGATGTCAAGTTCGAAAGTTGTCCAAAATTTATAAAGCAAGGACAAAGTTATAGGTCTGAAGTCGCCATGAAACTATTCAAGGAAATTTTTCACGTGATGATATGTGCACAAGGCAACCCATATAATATGTATTATATGTATATACATACCACGGTGTTATGGGAAGCAAGTATACGCACAGAACATATATGAGGCGAATATAGATTGTATATATTATGTGTGTGCATAATACATGGCCGTGAAATATTGGAGCAAATCGCATGCTACATATGTGTACATGTTCATGCACACTACTTAAATAGTCCTTTATATATTATGTGTGCGTCATATGCAAGTTAAAGCAAATATTGACCACGCATGTGTATATAGTATAGTAGTGTGTGTGTGAGATGTACTCACGCCAAGTGGAGTACTATGTATACTCCCATGCAAACAGTGAAGAAAAAAGGCAAAGGGCAATGAACGAAGCCAACACACGCCACGTATATACATTATATATGTGATTCATTTAATCAAGCAAGTTGGTGAATTAAACATATTATATATTAATATATGTACATTTACGCTAGCAGTGGAATGTTATTTATATATATATATGTATATCCATGCAAAAGCAAAGGCATTAAAACACATATTATATATATATGTACCCCATATCTATTTTCACATGGACCAGAATGATGTGTCATATATATGTTCATGTATATACACCCACGTGGCAAGGGGAAATAAGAAAACAAATCAGTGGTTTCTACCTACTACACAAGCTGCATATATACTGACACACGCATAGCATACATGGGAAAGAGTAATGGCGCAGGGCTCTATGCATTCTCTATTTAAATGCAAAGCAGAATATAGATTAGAGTAAAGACTCGTCATTTTGGTACCTCTGTCGACGAACGAAGTGAGTCCTCAACAAGCTTTCCTCCCTGTCGAGCTTGCCGGCGGTTGGTCCAAGCGCTCGGTCCTCCGGCGACGATCCCGCAGTGCACAGACGAACTCCTAGAACACGTGAAAGCGAAGACAAGAGTCAGGGCACACGACTTCGTCGGTAAGTCAGGAGAAAATCCTATTCGCAACCGTGGCCACGGTCATTGGGGCAGGCTCGGAGTCAAAAGTTTAGAGGAATGGAGTGACTGCAACTACGACACATTGGAGTGCAAAAGCATCAAATTGGTACTCCCCGCAGCAAGTGCGTGGCAGTTCGTGAGCATGTGTCCGGCGGCGTACCAGCAGCTTTTTGCCCCCGGTGATGGCGGCCGGCGGCATGAACCCAAGCAGTTGTGCAAGGTGTTCTTCTTCATCACCTAGCGCGATAGGAATAGAGACGCAGGGGACGTGCCGGAGCAACGTCTTGACGACGGCGAGATCAAGCGATGGTGAAGGTCACCTCAGAAGGTCAATCCCCAGGTGTCTTTACCCAATGACTCACGGATATTGTTTGTTCTCTCCTGTCAAAAGAAAAATCAAGAAGATAGTATACCGCAAAAAAAAATTACCTTATGAATGAGATTGCAGCTCAGCCGAAGTTCAAATGCTGGCAACTCTAGTTCTTGGCGTGGAGGAATTGTAAAATCATGAGAGCTATTTATAGATGCAGAGTCTTGAAGTCTTATGAGTTCGGATGTGCTTAGGATTCAAATTTTGTTGGTTAATCCAAATTGGACTGCGAACTGTGTGGTGCAAATTATAATCTGATGAGATTCTAAAACTAATTGATGGAATTTCGAGCGAAGTAGTAGGATGTAGCTGAACATTAATTTGTCAGATGTTTAAAAGAATTTAAATTAAACATTTGGTTAAAATTAAGGAAAGGAGAAGGAAAAGAAATGGGCCCTTTAATGTGATGTTGGATACACTATGGGCTTTGAATATTGGGTTGTTGTCAAACTTGTATCTGGGCTACTGCCAAATTGGGGCTTCTACATGCAAATATAGACCTTTGTGTTCAAAATGTCATTTATTGGGTTGCAATTTGTAAATATGGACATCCGGACAACAGCTAATTTCGAGACATTCTTCCCTTTGCATTTAAGGCACGTCAACCAAGTCTCGAAGGGGCAATTTGTAAGCATTGAAAAATTTAAATAATATTATTGGATCGTGGTGGATAATTGGTTGCTAAATTAATTACTTTAATTAAGCTAATTGGACTAATATTTATTTAATCGGTTAATTAAATGGCCCATTAAATATTTAGTTGGTTTAATTACTTAATTAAATGTAATTGGATGTTGGATTGTTTGGCCCGAGATGATGAAATATTTAATCGAGTTGGACCAGGCTGCTTGAATGAATTGGGTTGCCTAATTAGCAGGCTTGACTTGGTCTTGGCCCACTAAAATTATATGTGGGTTATATAATTTTGAGGAATTTGAATATTTGATATTATTTGGAAATTTAATGAAATCATGAACCTGGATGCAATAGAGTCCCGATACATTCCTTAATTTAATTAAAGAAATTAAATTAAATAAGGAATTAAGAGTTGGTTGGAGATTTTCTCTCACCCTCACCACTATAAATAGTGGTTTCATTTTCAAAGAAGGGGCTCTGGAAATCTGCATATCGAAGCTCTGCCGAAATCTCTCCAGGATATCGTCTGGAACACGCCCGCAGTTGTACTGCGTATACCGCGCTGAGGAACACGCCACTTGAACACCGGAAGCCCTTCTTTGAAGATCAAGCCGCATATTAGCCCTTCATTGAAGAACAAGCTACATAACTCCGGAGGCCCTTCAGCAAGGAACTACTTCCAGTTCGGCATACTCCCGAACTCGGCATACTTCCAGTTCGGCATACTCCCGAACTTGGCATACTTCCAGTTCAATATACTTTGAACTAGGCACACTTCCAATTCGGCATATTCCGGATTCGGCATACTTCCAACAAAGAACTACTTCAAGTTCAGCATACTCTGAACCCGGCACACTTCCAATTTGGCATATTCCAAATTCGGCACACTTCCAATAGGCATACTGCTAGTAGAGAATCAGAGGACTTCTCATATACAGAGATTGTACCCCTTCCTGTTTGATATATACTTGATACTTCATTGTAACCGATACTTTGAATTTTGAATATATACAATTCAAGTTTTTCGCGTTTACAGTGTGGGCTGGTGGTTACGTAGATTTGGTGGCAATGACACTGCACGCAATCTGGACTACCTGAAATGCTGTTGTGTTTGGCAACGCGGTGACGACGCCGGCTACGATCTGTGCGTCAGTGTGCCAGTAGAGAAACGACTGGTCTAAGGCTCACTCCGGTGTTGGAGGGTGCAATTCTGGTTCGTTGTCAACGACGATAGAGGAGGACGATCTGTGGGAGTTTTGGTGCACAGTAGATGCAGCCTTCGGCGGCAGAACGTACGTTGTTGCGTATGGCTTCTGCTTGCGCTCCAGGGACGGTTGGTGGGTGGTGAAGGCAAGTGGTCCGTTGGTTGGGGTCGTTGATGCTCACATGGCGGAGGCTTTGGCTTGCAGAAAGGTCCTGTCTTGGTTATTCTCGGGTTGCCTTAATGCATATTCAAATTTGATAACGATTTAAATCAAATATAAGAACATTGTGATAATCAATAATTGGATTCAAATTTGATAACGATTTAAATCAAATATAAGAACATTGTGATAATCAATAATTGGATCTAATGCAATAACAAAGATTTACTTAAGAGAACATTGTGATAATCAATAATTGGATCTAAAAGATTTACTTAAGAGATGCATATACGTTACATTAGGAGAGGCTAACTATGATACCGACAGTATAATCACAGTACACCATCTCTTCTTCTTCTTCTTTTTTTTTTTTTTTTTTTCAACAACGCCTCAAGGCTCGATCTCATAACCTCTCACATGAAAAAAATCACTGGCAATTGAGCACAAGATACTTGACAAGTACACTATCACTTTATATCATCATATTACCCTTTTACTGTTTTAATACTAAATAATACAATCAATTGCACCATTTCTTTATTTCTTCATATTACCGTTACCGATTTTAATAGTAACTAATACAACTAAGTATAGCATATTTATTGTACCAGAAAAATCTTTACATTAGTTAGGAGTTGGGACATAAGTTAGCATATCAAAAGCAGGGTACAAAAGCAATTTGCTTGCAAAAAAAAGTAAACCAAATGCCACAAGAAAATTTAGAACTTTGGCTTTTTTACAACTTTTTGTATGGAAGTATACCTGACTAGTGACTACATAAGGAAGCTCCATATAATTGCTCCGCTCGAAAACCTCTCAATCCGCCAATGGCTCAAAGCCAAACACTAACCCCGCCAACTGTTGAGCTTCTTTGCTTCAAAGGATGCTCCATCGTTGAGCATGTCTTGGGCATCGGTTTCCATCCCGAGTTTGGAGAGGGCAAGAGCCTGCATATAGAACGCAGTGGGCCACTCGGGCAGGCAAACCTGCGCCTGCATAGCATCCCTCAGTGCCAGTTCGGGTTGACCGATCATCAAGTAAGATAGCGCCCGCCTCACGAAAACAGTACCAGAAGGGACAGGCATCATAGATACCAACTGTGATTACGAAACAATAAAACTATATCAATATCTCAGGATTGCAGGAATTGGAAACAGCTTATTCATTCTATTCGTATTCGAGATTTACATCCCATAGAGATACTGTGTCCCACTTTCAAAATAAAACTATCTCCTAATTACAATCAATAAGCACAATAGCTAACCCAACAGGGTAGCTCAAGTGACAAATGAGCTCTTTTTGTGGGGAGGATTTCGGGATAACCCGGGTTCAATTCCCACAAGTGAACTGGGTGGACCTGGACCGTTAAACGGACAGAGAAAGACCCGGACTACATTGTGGTTTACACCGAAAAAAAATAAGCACAATAGCTTTCTAGTTATTAATGGAACCCTTGAATACACACTAATCCATCCCTAATTGTTGGTCACTTCCAACTATTTTCTAGGTCAGTTTGACTAAATTTTAAGTTTGGATAATAATGTATTCATTAATAGAAAATAAAATTATATTCTAAGTTCAAATCCTAACTCCTCAACCCCCATAAGAGGTACCTAAAAAGAAAATAAAAATTATTCTCTCCGTACAACTTTTTTTACCTACTTTTCTTTTAAAATCCATTCCATAATAATGTCCACTTTCCTAATTTAAACACTATTTACTTTTACCTTTATTCCTTTTAATTTATTCAATGTGGGTCCCAATTCACTTCATTTTTAGAAGGGAAGATTTGGAAATGATATGACCGTCTTAGGCTATATTTATCCCTCAAATACTCACTTTTAATAGTAGACTCTATTAGTCTACTGCCATATTATCATATTTGAAATTCACCCACTAATTTTTTTTTTACATCCCTACAATTCCATCTCACTTCCAACAATAATAATATAAACAAATAATTAATAATTAATAAAATAATAATAATAATAAAGCAAGAATTTACAAAAATTAAACTATCTTATGAGAAGCTACTTGCAGTAAGGTTCTGGCCAAACAAAACCTTAATTGACCTCGGAAAGTAAAGACAGAAATAAAATAGGGCCAATGAAGCATATAAATTATTGCAATTCCTTTACCAATGATATTTGGAAATTGACTTTGCATTTGGAAAGTTTAGAAAAAAAAATAAAAAATTACCTTAGAATAGTAATCAATTGCATTCTTGAAGTCATTGTCCCTAAAAGCAATGTCACCAAATTTCTTCGTATTCAGCATATCTTGCACTTGTTGTGTCCATTCTTGAAATGAAAGCTTTAGAATATCAAAAACGATGCACCTTATTATCAGATTGCAAGCTCCATAACAATTAGAAAATGGAAAAATATGAGGTCACAATATGTAAGAACCCCAAAATGAAAATCAAAACCTCTTTACTTTCTGTTCCCATAGGAAAATGGAAAAAATAAACAGAATTTATGTGGCAGAACCAAAACAAGCAAAATTAAACAGCATATCTCTGCCTAAAAGAACTTCTTTCTCATCAATTTAATGGCTTCCAATGATTAACGAGGAATTGCAAAGCAGAAAAATCAGTTCACCTCATTTTCTGCACCCTCCTCATCTTTATAACCCGTTTTAAGCAAGATATCATGCACAGCAGTAAGGTCCATCCTTGCACAAGCCTTTCCAAGAGGAGAAAGCATGGTGGGAAGCACCACGGGAGTTTTTGTCAGACCCATCAAAACGTGTGACGCAACCTAAAATAGCAAATGTGAAGTCATATCCATAAACCACCCGAATTCAAAGATGTTGAGCATATAGCCATTAATGTGCAATCCAACTATCAGCTTAAGCTTTTAGTTGAGATGGAGAACATGCTTCAATTTGGTATCAGAGTCATGTCAAAGGTCATGGGTCACGGTCCACGTGTTGCTTGGAACCAACCGCACACGTGAGGGGGCGTGTTGAGCATATAGCCATTAATGTGCAATCCAACTATCAGCTTAAGCTTTTAGTTGAGATGGAACACATGTTTCAATAAAGACAAATATCTACCTCTTTCTGCTTTTGAAGGGGCTCCACGGCAGTCAGAATGAACTTTACATCAGGTCGATCCCGAGCCTCATACTGGAGGCCCTTTGAAGCAAGCTCCACTAATGCACTAGCATCTTCATCCGCATATTGCCCTTCCAAGGATGAATCCATCAGTAACAACAAATTCTTCCCCCTTATTAAATCTAAAGCCTGGAAAAATAACCAGTATTCTCCAATCAATCCAAGAGTTGAAACTATTTCAATTGCCTTAATTTCACCCGTAAAACAAAAACAGAACTTTCAATACAATATTACAATAGGATCTGCAGGTAAGCATAGTTTGATACTAGAACAGCTAATATAGAATAATATACAGCCAACAGTTGTTGTTAGCAGTTTTAGAACAAGGAAGCATCCTGAAAGAATCAAAGCAGAAAACATAATTTTACTCCACAAGTCAAAGGCAAAGGAACATATAGTACATGGCTCGGAGGAATATGCTTCCCACTCAGAAGGTCCAGCAAAACAGTTCCATAACTATAGATCACACTTTCTGGAATGACCCTGCCTAGGAAAGAGAAATGAACAGTAAGCAGGAGAATTATATTTTTCACTGTTCATGAATTATATATATATATTGTTACGCTGAAATTCTATAATTGTAATAGAAGCTTTCAGAATTGTAAGATGTTTGACATGCAGTAGAATAAGACGTCAAATTGATAGAAATCCCATATTCCAAAATCCAGAGGAACTTTTTATTTCTTGCAACCAGAAAATCAAACAATTTTACGAGCCCTATATGGAGTATATGCATGATTTAGATAGGTTTGAGTAAAGAGCTGGAAATCAGATTGTTGACAATGCTGAGCTCATGCATTATATAGGGTTCCCTTCCCCAAGAAAGATCATGAAGTTATTAATTATTCAATAAAATATATTTATAATTTATAATTGCTATTAAGTTGTATTCATATGAATTTATTACAGATCTGAGAAAAATATATATCCTGATCTTGTCATATGTATATTATGAGAATATACTGTTTAGGACACAATCCAATCAGTTGTGGTAGATAAACACTTGCAATTGATGATCATGATATGATATGATTAAAATAATTAAACACTCATCAATAAAACAGATGGATGGAAACTTATTTCTTGAGGCTTCTCACCTGAGAGCCTATAGGTGTAGGTAGATTAAATTAGGTTTTTGATATATTTAATTAAAGGTTATGATTTATCTGCAGAGAATGAGTCTCTTAAATTTGTTTTTGTTTGTAATGGCATGGAACAATTTAGTTATAAAATGTTGGTACATCAAATATTAATCTTTTAGTTAAAGTATATTTAAATATTTGTATGAATATTGAATTTCAATCTATGTAATTTATCTTCAATTTTATTAATTTGTTGAAATAAGTAATTAAGAAGGATCATGGTAGGTATCCATGGAGGTACAGATGTGGTTCTAAAAATTAAAAAACTTCACCACCCATGTGGGGGGAACAGGTTTATTCGCTTAACTATTAAGATAAAGGAGATAAAAGTGAAACTTTTGCATGGATTACTTCTTCGTTCACTTAGGTCATACCTTAATGTCCCCAATATACATGTCAGGGAATAGAATCTACCTGTATGCAAAAACTCTGGGGGTGTATAAGCTAGATTTGTGCTATAACTCTTCCCGTCTCTGCTGTTTTTCATCAAGCCAAAACTTGATAGCCGAGGGTCACCGTCCTGGCATATAATCAAGAAAAATGAGTAAATGCAAGTTGGCGAGTTGTAGCTAGCCAAAACTATAGAACATGATCAAAACTAACTCATCCAAAAGAAGCAGCTATGAGGAGATTAAACCATTTATAGAACATAATATAAAAGATTTTGAAACCAGAGTCAGTGACTTTGGCATCAGCTAAAGTGAGGGCATGGTAAATAACTGCTCCCTTCATAGATATGTCTTAGATGACCAAGCACAGAATTAATACTATGATGGGATGAATTTCCATTTATTTTATGATGATTAAAAAGGAAAATAAAATAGGCAAGAACTATATGTATAATAATGTATTTATAACCCTTAATAATTTGGGCTGCTGGGCTTGGCAAATATGCAGTCTAGAGATGTGACTCTACAATTCCACATGAAGCAAAAGTTAAGCTCCACACTTAAAGTTGGCATTATTTTGAATCTCCTATACTCAATGCTGCAAAAATCCTGCCTAGGCACCGATTAATCGGAGCCTAGGCGCTAGGCATTGGCCGGCCGCCTAGCGTATCACCAAAATCGGTGATCTAGGCGGTTGGCCGACTAGGCCGCCTAAGCACCGACTAGGTTGCCTAGTCGACCGATTAGTTATTATTCTCTTCTTTTTTAAATGGATTATTTCACTAAAAACGGCATCATTTTAAGCTAAATAACCCTAAATTGTTCAAACTCTAAATGTTTTTTAGGTTAATATTTAATATTTTAGTATTAATTATAAAAGTATTAAATAGTTTATAATTATCAAGTCTAGAAAAATTAAAAAATTTTAAACAAATTTTTTAAAAATAAAAATACATGGACGCCGATTAATCGCCGCCTTGGCGCCCCCAAGCACCTGAGGAGTGCCTAGCGATTTTTTCAAATATGCCTATACTTTATCAGTTTTGACCCACATACTTTCAAACCAAATATCAAAAAGTTCTCGGGCGAAACCCTGCTTGTAACAAAATCATATCATTAGGTGAATATTTGTAAATCACCAGAACAATTACCAAAATAGATATTAATTCAAAACCAGCTTAATGGCATATAACATAAAAGATTTTCTGAAGGCTAACTTAGCAGCATGCTTCTATTATACAATTTATACATAGAAATAAAAGAAAGCATATTTATAGGACAACTTGCCCAAATAATCTTGTGCAACCAATTAAACCTATCTGGATATTTCACTGATAGAAAATAAGGCATGATTTTATCAAAACTTGAGGAGTGAAGCATGGATACCTCATCAAATAGAACTCTGTAAGCGTTCAAATCATGATAGATTTTATGGTTTTCGGCACTGCAATGGTCTAGAGCCTGTGCAATATGGCAGGCAACTCTTACACGCATTTCCCAGGGCAAAGGCTGTTTGTCCCCTACAAGAAAATAGCCACAAGTTATACATGCTTACAGTCCACCATTAAAAGAGCTAAAGAAACCAACACCAGTCTTCAATAAATTTGACAGGCAGTTCAGAATATGCACCAAGAAAAAGAAACAAAGAATGGTGTCAAATAGTTGATTATTAGCATGAGAATAAAATGATTAAAAAAAAAAATTGTTCTAACATGCATCTTAGTACTCATGCATTTGATACCATCTATCAACTATGTTAAAAATTATTCTGAGATAATATACAAAATAGTTCCTCGACTATGTCAAAATTCTCAAAATAATCCCTCAACTATGTTATAATTCTCAAAATAGTGTCAACTACCAATTCACCTAAATGATCCCTGACTATGAAAAAATTCACTTAATTTAGTCCTCGGTGTAACTAAAATGAGTAAAATTTTGCATAGTCGAATGACCTTTTAGGTGAATTGATAGTTGATGACCAATTTGGAAATTAAGAAATAGTCAAGAGACGATTTTAGGTATTAACTCAATGATTCTTAATGGGTTTGCGGGAGTATTGAACATCCGTAAAGAAAAGTGCAAATAGTAATGGAAAATAGCAACTTAGCCATCGACTAGTGTAAACAAAAAGTCAAAGGGAGAAGCTACTAAACAATACAAGAGCCAATGATTAACCCATACAGTGAAAGAGATGTTTTGATAGCGTGGCATTGGGCATGTATTCTGCCACCAGTAGACGCTCATCTCCCTCCGCACAACAACCAATTAGATTCACCAATCTCTTGTGTCGAACCTTCCCAACTCTAGCAGCCTCTGCCTGCACAGTAAGGAAAAACGAAGCAGCACTAGGATCATTATAAAATCCCAAAATACTAGCCTCCAGCGAAATTTTAAGCTGCATTAGGATCAGTCAAGCATAAAGTATGTCGTGTGTGTTCTAAAATACCTCTACTTATAAATATGAACAGGAGAAACTTAAAATGACCAGAAAATAATCAATCAGGAAAACCACTATCCACAGAGAAATACAAGTAATGTTGCCCTGTTTGGTAAATTGTTAGCCTATCAGTCAATTTTGGCTTATTTGACTACTATTAATTGTTTAATTTGGTTAAAAAATCAATATAAGTGTTTGGTTAATTAGCTTTTTGAAACTCCAAAATGCTAAAATTCAAAAAGCTACTCCAAGTAACTTTTTCAATTAGCTTTTTCAGAAAAGAAATTATACCAAACAGCTCTCATCTAACAGCTTTTACCAAACACTTTTCTACAATCAGCTAATGTTATCAACTAGTTATACCCTCTAATTAACCCAATCAGCTAACAGCTAATAGCCATTTACCAAACAGGGCCGTTTGTCTTCTTATGCACGACCATGAGGAATGCAAAATATACACAATTAAGTACTATGAAATTAATGACCATTTGGACCAATAAGGATAGAAAACCATAGATGAAAGCCAAAGTATTTAAGTCAAAGTTAAGGAATAAGGTCCAATTTAAATTTCTTAAGAACCTTGACAAAATATAAAACACTTTGACCATATAAACTACAAAGTTTAGGCAGAACTGTAAACATAGGCCTTACCACGAACTGCTGTGGTTCTGGCCATGATTGCTTTGAGAAACGTTTGATAGCCACAAGCTGGTTGCTTCGAAGCTTTCCTCGGTAGACAACATTGGGTGCTTTCTCTCCACTCTCAGAAACTATCAATTCACTGCTAAACCCATTTGTCGCAGCTCGGAGTTCAGCTAGATCAAATTCCTTAAATGCTGGCACTTGATCTTCATCTACTTGCTTCCCGTCAGCTTCACCAATATCAGACAATATTCAGGACCATAACCAGAAATAAAACCATTCACACATAAAGGGATGTCATTAACACACAAATCACAGAAATTAAATGACAAAATACACGAAAAACAAGTGTGAATGAGAGAATTAATCCAATAGCCCGAATGCAATCGAACACCAAACAAAGTTCTAAGAAAAAAATAAAGCATATTAAGAGCTTAGTTCACATACAAAAACAGAAAAGATTTTTTTTAAAAAATGAATACCGAAAGGGTTAAATGAGCGAACACCCAGAACAAGTTTCAATATGCAATCAACCACAAATCCAGAAAACCACACACCTAGAATCTACTTGTAAGAGTGCATAGCATACATAATGACAGTACTAAATGTTGAATATAAAGAGCAATACCCAATGGTTTTGCATAAAGATAGAGAGAAAAAAAATAGTTACCAAGATCTGGTTTGGATTCAGGGTGAGAAGGGTCTTGGTCCGGGGACAGATTATTGGCAGTTTTGGACTGTAAACAGCCCATTTCTTCTTCTTTACATAGACCACACTCACAGCAGCAAACCCACTACACCCTCGCTTAGTGTATACGTTTCTTGCTCCCCTCTTCTCAGCTCAGTATATATTTTTTTTTTCTTTCTCGAGTGTGAAAAAAGGGAAGCGGAAAGGTTGATTCTTTTTGTGGGCTATTGAAGTCAAGAAGTGAGCTGACTCCTTGAGTGGGTCAGTGGAAATAGACTGTGACAAATGATTCGAAGGGAAAAGAGAGGAGGGTGAGTGAGCCAGAAGAAGAAAGAGAGTAGTAGTCACATGATGAGTCGATGATGAGCACGTGGAGAGAGAGAGAGAGACAGAAGGATTGCGCAGTTTAAATGCTCATCTCCATTGTTCCATTACACAATTCCTCGAAAACATCTTGTTACGTTCATCATGGTCTTCTTTTCTTTTATTTTAATGGCGTGAAAAAGTATTGTCACTATTGTGTAGTAAATATGAAATTATGAGAAAAAAAATTAGAGAGATCAATCTTCATTTGATACGAGGATAGCATCTCAGGATATGAAGAAAATGTTTTCCTATGCTAGCATAGAGAAGCTACCATTTGACTTGAGGATAATTTTTTTCTAGGTAATTCTAGAGATTGATTTTACGGCTTAGGGTAGCTGATCGGCGGGTTAATACTACCGTAAAATACTATATAAAAAGAATAAATTTGTGAGGAAAAAATAGAGTAGAGTAACGTTTAGTATCTTGAAAAGTGTATCCAATAAAATGTGACGACGGGGGTATTTATTCAAGGAATTAGGCCCTCTAGAAGGCAAGAACAAGGAAAATAACTAAAGTTATGGTTTAGAAACTATCAAAACTGGCGGCGTAACTTCCTAATATGAGAAAAGGGAATTGCTTTCCACGCAAGGAAAGAATCTCCACAAAATTCGCCCTTAACCGCCTCTAGGACGCGTACTCGGTTAGGAACACACCGACTGCCGAGCCTGGTTGCCCACCCGAGCCAGCTAGGCAGTTAGTCGGGGACACACCAACTGCCGAGCCTGGCCGCTCACCCGAGCCAGCTAGGGACCCAGTCGGGGACACACCGATTGCCGGAGTCTGGTCGCCCAAGTGTAAAGTTCATTCTGACCGGCATTCTTCTTTGACCTACACTCTCCTTCCAGAGTTAGTTCCGTTTCACCTCCAGCCACCCTTCTCTCTTCTTTTATCAAGGTTAGCCCTCTTCTCAATGCCTTTTCTTTCATACTCATTATGTCGTCGTCTCAAACCCCCGTCGCCTCTTCCTCCAGTGCCCGGCAGGGCGTAACTTCTAACCCTCCAACCACCACTTCTCTACCAACAGCGGCCCAAGGACCCACCTTCGTAGCCCCCGTCGACCCTCCAATTGATAGGGAATTGGGCTACTTCAAGGACTTGGAGTGCCTGGTCGGCAGCCGCTCCACCCTTACCGCTGTCGACTACCAATACGCATGTCGACTGTTGGGCATGGCAACGGTGACTCGTCACCCGGGTAACCGGCTAATCAGTGATCCCCCCCCCCCCCCCACCCCCCGAGGGTGGCTATGTGGGGATCCACTACCAGTCAGTCCATTGCGGGTACCGAGTACTCGTTCTTTCCCTTTCTCTCACTTCTTCTCCAATATTATGGCATTGTGCCTAATCAGCTGGTGCCCAACTCCTACCGCCTCTTTGTCTCCTTCCCGACATATTGCCACCGTCTCGAGGTGGAAGCCTCCTTACCTCTTTTCCACCAACTCATCCGGCTGACTACCGTTGGTTTTGTTGCCCCGGGTTACGTACAAATTCGCTCCTAGGACGGGCGCAAGTTCCTTGACAAACTAGAATCCTCCCATAAAGGTTGGAAGGAGGAATTATTGTTGGTCTGCCTGGCTGACTCCCATCCTGCCTTTGACTTCCCGATTGCCTGGCAGTAGTCGTATTACCGCCTCGAGAAGAGGCCACCCTGCCTAGACGCTCTCGCTGATCTGGTCAAGGAGATCACCAAGGGTGAGCTTAGCTCTACCAGGCGTTGGTCGCGACCGTGTTGGTTCCAAAAGAGATAAAGTAAAAGTTTAGAGGGGGTGAATAGATTTTTACGCCAATTCAAAATTTTGCTAAGGCAATAATAAAACAAAACACTTAACAGTTTGTCAGTGTCTTGTGCACAACGAAATATAAAATAAGTGTAGTGATTGTGTTATGTGGGCTTCACATTAAATGCGTGCATGCAAAAATAAATCATGTAAAGCAGTAAAAAAACACAAGAAATTATAGTGATTCGGAGGTGTATGTAATCCTCCTACTCCAATCTACTTCTATCTCCTGGAGGAATTCACTATATACACCACCCCTTGGTTACAAGATACAATGAATTTGTGATCTAGTGCTTTGATAACCAAATCCGCACTAATCACTCCCAAACTAGTGCCTCCAGTACTGCAGCCAAGATTTTGCAACTCCGTGCTACTATCCTCTATCTAAACTACAGTAGAGAAACAACCAGGATTTCACAACTCCGTGTGACAATCCTCTATCTACACTCCGGTAGAGAAACCACTTGTTTTATGAAAACAAGATTTTCTTTGCTTCTAACTTTGAGACTTTTGGATGGATTCTTCAATGAATATCAAGTCTCCTTTTTTATGAAGATTTTAGCAATTAAATATTTCTTTGTAAGCTCTGAACCACTTGTTATTTTATCACTTGTAGTTTTCTTGTGTAATTCGTGTATTCAAGATTGGTGTGGTTCGTGCTTGACTTCTTTTGATCTTCATCCTTTTATAGTTGTTTGAGGATTTGTCCGTTTGAAAATGACAATCTCAAATTTTAAATCTTGTCTAGTCTTGTACCCTTTTCAGTCTAAAAGTAGACATTATCTCATTTTTAATATTGTGTGAGAAATTAAAAATATTCAGCCACAATTTTGAGCTCCAAATCCATGCAAATTGATCTTCAAATAATCTAGTGAAGTCCACACTATTTGGTAATTATATCTTCAATATTTGCTCCAATCTGGGCTCTTTCTATTTTGGACTAATCACTTTTCATTAATAACTTGAGCTCATAATTCTTCTCCTTTTTAATCTCAACAATCGGCTACTGACGCTTGATTTAATCTGTATTGCAATTTCATCTCCAACTTAATTTCATCTCTTCTTGAATTGCATCTCCAATTTAATTTCTTCTTCAACTTAATTTCACCTTGAAATCGGATCTCCAATTTAATTTCATCTCCAATTTCAATTTAGACTTGCAATCTCATCTCTAGAAATCTCAGCCCTTTGGAATCTCATCCCTTCTTTAAATATAACCTCGACCCTTTGGAATCTCATCCCTTCTTTAAATAGAACATGAAACCTCAGCCCTTCATCCCATTCCTTTGACTATAAACCTCAGTCCTTCTTTGATTTAATTTCAAATCTCATCTCCTTCAAACTTCAGCCTAAATAGATACCCCAAATCGGGCACTTAGCCTGGGGAGCAAAAGGGGCAGTCAGACCCGAGTGCGGCATAACACTTATCAATCCATGAGAAAGAGCCTCTCTCGTAGCACCAGCAGCGCGAGCACCCGAGAGACTATGACACCAAGCGGGTATGCCTCCGGTCAGGGCACCTGGCTAGCTTAAATGGGCGACCAGGCTCGGTAGTCGATGCGTCCCCGACTGAGCTCCCTAGAGGGCTCAGATAGGCAACCAGGCTCAATAGTCGAAGTGTCCTTGTTTGGGTGTCTTAGGCTCCCTAGCCGGATTACCAAGCCAGGTAGTCGGTGCGTCCCGGACCGAGTGCGCGCTCCAGAGGCGTTAAAGGCAGATTCTGCTGAGATTTCTTTCCTTGTTCAGCAAGTAGCTTCATCTTTTCAGTTTAAACAGTTACCGCATTAATTATGGTAGATTCCTAAGATAGTTTAATTATTTTTTTGCCCTAGTTACCTTATAGAGGATCTATCTCCTTGTATAAATACCCCCTCCCCCGGGTCACCATGTAGGGGGGGAATTTCTTTAATAACATCTTGTTATTCTATCTCTCTTTCGACATCTCTTAGTCTATTCTAAAACCCTAGTATTTTACGGTAGTGTTGGCATGCCGAACGACTACCCTAGGCTGTAAAACTAACATTGACACCGTCCGTGGGGATCAAAACTAAAGGTCCCGTCTCTAAGATTTTCTAATGGCTCATACACGACGTAGTAGTCGGGACGCCGGTCGAAACGCTATTGCCCCGGTAGCCAACGGGCATGTCACCGTCATCGCGAATGCGGGGGAGCAACCCGCAAGTAGTCGCGCCTCCGTAGGAGACCTGAGGGAGTAGTTAAGCCGTCGTGCTCCTGGTGAGAGGTCGGCTGCACGTACCGAACGTACTGTCGCGCCAACCCACGAGACACCGGGGGGTAACCTTCCACCGCCTTGTCGCTCAGGCCCAACCCACCTTCTTGGAGTTGTTAGCGCAGACCTTTGATACATATTGAAATCTTTCTTGATCTGATTCTTGGAGAGAATTCTTGATCAAAGACTATCCAAAATAACTTGTTTAGCGGGTTAATTCTTCAAATATTTGACACGTGTCCTTTTTTGTTTTCATTTTTTAAAGACATTTATTTATTAGATATTAATTAAAAAAAAATACAGCCACGCCGCTGCCGGATGAAGTTTTCGATTTGGTTAAGAAAATTTATGTTTTGTGTTATGTTTTTTTTTTAAAGAAATCTTGAATGGAGGAATGTGCATATGAATGAATTCAAAGGAGCTGGAGCGTTGAAGTCTGCACGGCTCTCCGACGGACTCCAAAGTCCAAAGAGAAACCAGAGATCGATCAATTGGGTGTCTAAAGGTTTACGCGAAGAAATTGTATCGTTTGAGGATTTTGATAATGTTAAGGATTCTGTCATTTGAAGAAGATTTGATTTTTTTAAGAATTCTATAACGTTTTTCTATTTGGAAAACAATGAATATTTTGTAGATTCGAAAGGACAACGTGCGGAGGTCGGAGAGTAGAGACGCCAAGGGGAAGGATGAACGAAGCCAAGGCACCATTCTTTTTCTTTTTTAAAAAAATTAATATCTAATAAATAAATATTTAAAAAAAAAAAAGGACATGTGTCAAGTATGTGGAGAATTAACTTGCTAAACAAGTCATTTTGGACTCAATTAAACATTTTTACAGGTTTAGGAGATTTAAATGAAGCTTTTTTTTTTTTTTTTACTTAGGGGACCTAATTGCACTACCCATTTGACTTATAGGGGCTAATTTGACACTCTATCCATTATAGAAAAGTGAATAAAATAATAGATGAAGTGTACGAGTATGGATAAGTAGGGCCCACAAAAGGGAGAAAAGGGATAAGGATTGGAGATAAAATGTAAAAGGTAC